ATATATATACATATATATATAAATTCTAAAATAAATATAGCGTTCCTACTTTGTGGGTTTTCACCTATCATGAGGGCGTTTGGAATGTTACCCCCGCGATAATCAAGGGACTACTGTATATGCTTATTTACATAGATTTGTTCATAATTTGTGATTCTGAAAAAGCTTTTGAAATCACTTTTTTTTTTTTAGCAGTCCATTTTGGTCTTTGCACCACATGTATTAACTATAATCTGGTCAAAAATACTCGATTTCTCTAAATTAAGGACTTTCAAAAAGCTATCATCATCAGGTAAGATACTACTTGTTTATAACCTCTCCACCAAGCACTACTGAAAAAGAACTGAACTGTAGTTTTCAAAAACTACACTTACAAGTCTGTCCAAGTAGGTTATTTTATTGATGATGTCGTCAAAACTCTTCAGGGGAGGATAACACAGAAAGTAGAAAATACTACTTTTGGTTTATCCAGAGATTTTTAAATCTTATATCTCATATTAGTCTTTGATTTGTATGATATAAGAGCAACCACCTCCTTCAACTATCACTTGTGTTGTTCCCATAAACAGAAATGATAGCATCTAAGAGGAATATGTCTTTTTTTTGGCTGCAGCAAATGATTTCCACCCCCAGAATGAAAATAATACTTGTTATAATTTCAGTTTGTGGTGTGCGTGCTGAAAAAGCTCTACTGCTGCTCTTTTCTACAACAAACTAATAATGTTGGTTCAGCGGAGGCTGACAGTATGTCACACAATGACTGGTCCAACTAATTATATTTGGGCCCACTAAACCCTCTTCTTGTTTAGCTGTGAGCTCTCAGTAAAGCATATCTAAAATAAGTGGTCTGGTGTGACAGCTGTGGCTCTGAATCCAGAACTTTATGGACTTTTTTATCATCATCGACAGCCCAGACTTGTCTCAATATCTCCTGTTCTTCCTGTCCAAAGATTCAAATACTGCCCACTGATTGGACACTTGGTGCCTCATCTGCATCTAAGAACTTCAGTAACTAAATACTGCCAACAATTTAAAAGTAATTGTTGTTTTTCGTTGATAATTAACTTTTTTTGATGGTTGTGATTGGCAATTATACATGTAAATAGCTAAACTCGTTCCTTTGCACACACGCCTTAACATGTGCAATTTGCTTGAATACAGTAATTGAGAATTTCTAATCTCGCCATAGCAATTGTTCCAAGATGAAAACTGTTTGAAAAAGGAAAAAAAAAAAAAAGAAACATAATAATCCTCTTTCAAGAATAAAGTCAAACCAAATTAGAAAAGCTGCAATAAAGACTATTAAAGAAAAATAAAGAGGGATTGTATTAAACTGTAATCTCCCTATCTGTCACAATTACCGCTGTTCCTCCATGTGTAAACATGGCCGCAGGCTGTTTTCAGATTTCCAAACTTCCAACCCAACTTTGGTTTGCTATAATCTTCAGCGTGCTGAACGCCACCGTAGACGCAAGTCACTGCGAGGTGTTTGTGGGTTATTTGAAGACTTGTTTGCCACTAACTTATGATTGTGCGCACGTTTGTGTCAGTGTGGCATCGACGCAGTTTTCCAATATGGGTCTGAATAAGAGGATTGAGTAGTGAGAGTGTGTGAGCCTTTCTGTCCTTGTGCTCTCTGCTGCCAAGCGTTCTGTGGAAACAGATGAATAAACAGATGTGCGTGTGGCGTTCATGTGCACGTATTCATGTCAGAAACATCATGCAGGGAAGAGCGAACGCCGTCATTTTAGAATCTAGCACCTGTCAAGTGAATTTCACAGACAGAAAACAAAAACCTACTTTCCAATTAAGATTTTACCCCCAACTTTAATACTGTAGTGCCTCGTCCATTTATGATGCGTTGCCTCCAAAAGGCAAAGGTGGATGATAATGTTGTTTTTTTTAATGTGTGTTTGCTAATATAATGCAGGACAAATTTTAATTTAAAAAAAAAAAAAGGAAAATAATCATTGGATATTCATTTATAAATTATGAACTTTTGGAGTCAACTCAAATCAAGATGGCTGCCACAAACAGCTGAATGTACGAAATACAACAATTGCTGTAACTCAGTTGAGTTTGCAGATATTAACCTAAAATTTAATGTTCTATTAGCTGCGAGTGATCCTAACTCATACTGAGCGCTAACAGGCTATTAACGCTTTGGAGTCAGCTTGTGTTAGCAAAATACCTCATGAAACACAAGACGGATTATAATGAAACTTTCAGGAAACAGTTATTCAATGCACCTCTACAAAAGAATAATGTTTGGAGCCAACCGAATCTAAGATGGCCGCCGCTGCCAACTGACTAGAAAACACAGAAGTTACTTTGTTTCAGCCAATTGTACAGATACTGAGTTAAAACTTGGCGTGGCTGTAGCTGAGAGTCATTCACATCACAAAGACCAAGCGCTACACGGTACACAAAATCTTTGTTATAGCAGAACCTGTTGGACTCAACCACTTTTGTCTGTTAGCAAAATATCTCATGGTTCATTAGGCATATTTTAAATAAACTTTCAGGAAACAACCATTGTATGTAAACAACTGATTGACTTTTGAAGTTGAGTCTAATCGACCTTACTCAACACAAAAATGGCTATAGCTCAGCCAACTGTATATTGAGCTTTTTATCTGTTACATGTCAAGATGAGTTTACTGTGAAAGTCTGACTTGAAAAGTCTGGCTTGAAAAGTAGCAGGAAATTCCCTGGAGGAATGCTTGGCTTTTAACTACAGATGTAACGCTTAGCATGAGCTACTCAATGACCTCTGTACAAGGTAATCTGTACCTTAACCATTGAGATGAGCTCACACAAGCGCCCCCCCCCCCCCCCCCCCCCCCCCCCCCCCCCCACACACACACACACAACTCACACCTTTTTACTGTTCTCTCATCAGCGTGAGACATTCCCCACACTCGCCCTGAAATGAACCAGAGTCTGAGAATCATCAACACTCTGAAGATGATCCTTTAGCATTTCATAATCATGGATGGATGGATGGATAGATAGATAGATAGATAGATAGATAGATAGATAGATAGATAGATAGATAGATAGATAGATAGATAGATAGATAGATAGATAGATAGATAGATAGATAGATAGATAGACAGACAGACAGACAGACAGACAGACAGACAGACAGACAGACAGACAGACAGACAGACAGACAGACAGACAGACAGACAGACAGATAGACAGATAGATAGATAGATAGATAGATAGATAGATAGATAGATAGATAGATAGATAGATAGATAGATAGATAGATAGATAGATAGATAGATCTGCAGTTCTTCCCTCCCCTCTCTCCCTCTTTCATTCAGGAGAGGATGGGAAGCTGCTCGTGACCTGGCGCGCGCGCTGCTGTGTTTTGGTTCCAGTTAATCCCTCCTTCCGTCTCGTTGTAACAGTAGAGAATCAATAAGACTTTTACGGTCAGACCGTCGGAATTGTAGCAAATCAACTCGATTCGCTACTGGATAAAAAGGGGCAGTCAGGTGTGTGTGTGTGTGAGTGTGTGTGGGTTGAGAGGGGCATGCGCGCATACAGGCGCACAGAGACGCACGGCAGCAGCTACGTGTTTTGCGCGCCAGGCAGTCCTTGCTGAAGTTCATCATTACAGCCAGACACCCCCCCCCCCCCCCCCCCCCCCCCCTTAAAAAAACAAAACAAAAAAGTCGGCTCGGCTCTTCCTCTCTTCCTGAGAAGGAGGACAGCCGTTTGGATGTCGACTCCAACACGTGGCGGGGAAATGTTTGGCTTCTTACGCGTGGATTTGGCTGTTTTAATGTGAGAAGCCGGAGAGAGGACTGCGCGTGTTGTTTGGTTTTGTGCTCACTTATTCGTGCGCGCTGCGAGGACGCGGATCAGATCAGGAGCTGCTCGGCGCAGATGGAGCCCGCGGGGACGCGGAGGAGGAATGCGGAGCAGAGATTCTGAGCGCCCCGAATCACCTGCGGAACTCCTTGCAGCTCCAACCGGAGTAAGTAGCGCGGCTGCGGCGCAATGACGCGGGGATCTGTTCCAAAACGTCTCCAGATTGACTCCAGACTCGTGGCGCATCCGTGCGCGCAACATTCTGCTGTGACTTGTTAAATACAAATATTTTCCTGTTTATTGGAGCCCCTGGTTCATTTCCCTCTCTTTATGACTTCTTAGAGCCATGCTCCTGCCTCAGACATAAGCTGCGCGCAGCCTGACAGCTTCGCAACTCTCTCCCCCCTGTGTGCGTGTTGGGCTCTGCAGCCGACCCGTCGCCATGCTGAGGCAGATCCTCCTCAACTCCACCGACGCGCCGGACTTCGACCTGGTGCTCATGGCTCAGTCCGCCGCCGCCACGCACGCCCCCGCCTCCCTGAACGCGTCCAACGGCGGCTCGGTGAGCGTGGCCGCGCTGCTGAGGCCCACCGCGGGGAGAGGCGGCGGGGGGCTGCGGGAGGGCGAGCTCCACAAACCGGACCTGATCACCTACATCGTCATGTGCCTGCTGCTCTTCCTCCTGGTGCTGCTCATTGTGTTCTTCATCAACTGCCAGCTCCGGAACTCCTTTTTCGCCTCCATGCCATATGACAGGTCACTGAGAGAGGCCCGGACCTACAAGTAGACCCCCCCCCACCACCACCATCACCACAACAATTTTTCTTTCCCTTCTTTATTAAGGACAAACCCCTAGAATTGTGGGTGAGAGCTCAAGGAACATGCAGCTGGATATGATCTGGAACCTAATCAGTGAAGGACTTGATGATGTGACACATCCATCAGTGGACTGTGGCAGCGGGAGAGATAAACTCTGAGTGAATTGGTGACTCACAGGCCGGAGCTTTTCTGCTATATTTAGTGTCAAAGAACAGCAGGAACGTGAAACGATCTATCGTCTGTTATGATCCACATGTGTTCTCTCTGCAAAGCTGAAACAAATGTATTCCCATCATTCCAGTAAAGCGTCCCAGTACAATTCTGACCTGGTGCCTGCCTGGGCCAGTTTCTCCTTCATGAATCATGACTCACAACGATGTGCTAAGGATCTGTGTAAAAGAACAACATTACTGTAGAGCTGTAACCTGAATGTTGTCTTGTGAATCAATTAGGCAACACTTTCTAACCTTCTAGAAATGACAGATTGTGAGGAGCCTACTGAAATGTCCTGTCTTTTCAGTTGTGCGCCTGTAAATGAAAAAAGAAAAACAAAAAAACAATACAAGAGATGATGATGCCACAGCTGCTGATGTGAAAGGCCAGCTGTTTATCTTTTAATACAGCCACTGAGGCATTTATACGGCTGCCACAGGGCTATAGCCTTATCAAGCACCTTCACTTTTAATTAACTTCTCTGACAATTTATAGCGTCATTACTATCGCAGCGAATGAAGGCTTGGGGCTGAAGTATGATGAGTCCTGTGTGCTATATGACCAAACCCAACGGCTGTCTTTTTTTTTTACTGCAAGGCCACTTGTGATCCACAAATCCTGTCCAATATTGTTGTCGGAAAACATCTCTCACATGCCAAGACAGATAAAATGAGCCTATCTCTGTAATCCTGTCCCTTTGTGTGTGTGTGATGATAAGTTTGTTTATGTCTGAGACAAAGTTATACAATGAGCAATACCCCTGCGAAGAAAAGTACGATCAAATAATGTTTTGAACATTTACTCTCAGTGTGTTGTTTAATTTTCTGGAGATGGAAAAAAGCGAAACTAGAGGCTATTAATGGATTTTATTGCCTATAAAGTGGGATTGTGAAGAGAATGATGGGTTTATTTAAACGCTTTTGATGAAATGCAAGGGTGATTTAGTTATTTACTATTTATTTTTCTCCCTACTGTTTTATGAACTTTGCTTGACACATTGTTTTGACACTTAATGCTGTTTTTTATAGTAACCAGCAGGTGGAGGTCCAGGTCTTGTCTTGCACAGCATGGTTACAGAGCAAAACAGCAAAGCACTGCAGCACCCATTCAGCCTTAAAAAGCAACAAAGCACCACGATTTAAATGCATCACTTGAGTGAGTGAGGATAAAATATTGGGGAACTATAATTTGCTAATAATCTTTTCAATGCATATAGGAGCTCTGAGGTTAATTATTCCTCTTTTTCAGAAATGCAGTGTGATGAAATGCCTGCACATTCTAACTATCAAGCAGCATCTGACCTTAGAAGAACGAGAAGATGTGTTTTGGTCATTGTCAACATTATGGAGATTTAACCTGACAAAGAAAATATTCATGCAGTTTGAAAAGGTTAAATGCAGGGGAAGGCCAAGGTTTTAACTGACTATAGGGAAACATCCAAAATACAAATAAAATGTAACTTTAAACCTATACTTAGTCTATATATGCAGTAACGTGGAAGACAGTGATTATCTAGAAAAAGCTGACATTTCTCCCAGATCAGGGGTCTGCAGCGAGCCACATGCAGCTCTTTGGTCCCTCTGCAGCAGCTCTTTCAAGCTTTGACCAAAACTAACATAACTGAACTTTATTGATTGTTATACAAACGACAACAAAAATGATTAGTCTTAGCCCTTTTCCTGTCATTTATTTTGCATATTGCTTTATTTCTATACTTAATTATTTTTTCCACAATTTAAAAAAAATATCACATAGGTCTACTGTCTGTATATACATAGTTATTTTTTAAACATTTTTTCCTCCTCTTTACACTGAATCTGGTATTTTACATTTGTCTTAAATTGTAAAAAATATCAATATTTTTCTTTTGGCCGCTCCCTTTGTCAGGGGTCGCCATAGTGAAGTAAGTTGCACAAAGACTTGGCAATTACTTTTACGCCGGGTGCCCTTCTTGATGAAACCACTGAGCTACCACAGCCCTCTGTGTGGAGCAGAAGGATGCTATAGGGCACCCGGGGGAGCGGGTGTTAAGGGCCTTGCTCAAGGGCCCAGAGTGGGGCAAATGAGGGTGGAGACAGGTGTGGGTGCTTCACCAGACCCTCCCACGTTTTGATGTTGTCAGTATCGGGAGTTGAACTAGCAATCTTCTGATCACAGGCCCACCTTCTCTAACCTCTGCACCACCTCATACCGATAAATGTTAAAAATCATTAGATATTTTTAGCTTTGTAATGTCAACCCCCTAGTGGTCACAAAAGTCTCCTCCAACAACCTAAAGTGGCCCACGGGCCACCAGTTGATTGCAGAAGGTTGTTGCTCTGGACACGTTTGGTGTCTCTTGATCCTAAAGGTTGCAGATTAACCAGCTTTTGAAAACCACACTATTGACCTTTTTTTTTTTTTTTTTTTAGATTTCCAGACTTTCCCACCCTCAACTTTAATAAACTTCAGAACGCAACACAACAAAGCCCTGCACTCCCCTCCCTGTGTAAGCTCTAAACACGTCTTGACTGGTGAAGGCACGTAAAGGTGTGCAGCACGAGCTGCACTCCGCGTCTGCACGCGCTACATCCTCTCAGGTAGAGCGGCAGAGCGCATGCTCCGCCCCCGCGAGCCTCGACCCGACTCACTGTCAGAAGAACAGGAAGACTTCTTCACGGCTAATTCACTTCCCCGTTGTCACCCAGGGGTTAAAAAGTTCCCTGAAACTTTCGGCAGTCATGGAAACCAGTCTCGGACACGCTGCTGGTTCTCGTCACCCGTAGAACCGACTCGTCTTCCGCGTTGTTGCCTTCCTAACAGCTCGCGGAGGTGGACGGAGAGGCGTTTTTTTTCCGCTTTACCTTTCTTAATTACACTGTAGCCCGGACTAGCTAGCTTGGCTAAAGCTAACGCTAGCTCCGGTTTGTACAGCATATTTTCGGTGACTAAACACTCACTCTGTTAAAGCTGTGGGTTGTGCCGCTTATAGGAAGTTGTAGACTTACTGTGTTAGTACTCCTCGGACTCAACAGGTTGTTTTCGTACTTCTTGTCCCGAGGACTTTGGGTTGTGCTTTGAATTTCCCTCCTTCGGTGTTACGGACAAGCGGCTTGACGAGGGGTTCGTTTGGCTGTCTACCAAACCATTAGCATAACTCTGCTAATTGTGGCTAACTAGCATAGACGGGCCCCGTGGGGGAGTCACTTTGTTTTCCCCGCAAGTTAAGCAACCATATTTATTTTTTTATTTTTTATTTTTTAAAGCGAGGGAATTAATTTATTAATATGGATCAACACACGGGGAACTCTGCATCAGCTGCTGGACTCAAGAAGGACAAGAAGTCGAAGAAGGGTAACGACGATGGAGACAGCAAAAAGAAATTTGTGAGTATTCCTCTCTGGTTTTAGCTAAACTTTGTTTGAACTTGTACAGCCACCCAACAGTGGAGCTGGGCAGAGGTTTTAACTTCTCTACTCTCTACTTGTTAAGCTCTCTTCCTCTCCAGTTTCACCTACAGCTGTGCAGCACAAACGGACACCTACCTGTAAATACTGTCACCCCCTGAGATGTGTTTACCAGCTGTCAACATACTGCCCTATAGCATTTATGATTCAGATCAACGTTCAAGAGCGTGCACATGAGAAAGTATATATATTGTTTTGTGTGAACTTTGCAGGGCTCATAATTACATTCCTGTCAGCAGGTTAACACACAACCTAAAGTGTACAAGCAGCAGTAAACATTCACTTGTGGTGGTTTCATTACTCACCACAGGGCCAGCTTATTCCAGTCTCTGTATCAGGCACAAACAATTATTTATTTTATTTATAGACAAACTAATGATGTTTCAAATGAAGTAGCCGACTCTTTGAAAAGGTGTGGCTTAAATTTTCTTCAGGTGACTTATGTCTGCCCAAATGATTCAGTGTGGTTACTGGATGGGAGCAGAGGAGAAAAATTCAATACACACCCTTGTGTAACTTTACCCCTTGGCCTCATCTAGCAACAGGTGAAAATCGATATTGATCATAGTGGCAACCAGTAACTACAGGGGATGTGCTTATAACAAAAACAACTCCACAACAAGGCAGATGATCATGATCACATTCTTTATTGTGTAATATGAAGTTATTTAATGCTCAGGAGTTTCATTGAGAACTGTTATGGTTGGACTTTGTTAAAGGCTCTGTTTTGAGTGGGATGATGGCACAGTTTAAACAATTGCACAATTCTAGATGGGTGGACAGCTTTTCAAATTTTTAAGCTGTCTATGGTCCTACAATCCGTTGAGGTGACCGTGCACAGGAGTCTGCATGCCTGTGTGTGCAGCTAACCTTAAAATGAGTAAGCCCTTTACTCACTCACCATTATAGTATGTATCTCGGTAGTAATATTAAATTAGAAACTAAAACGGAACTCTTAAAAAAACATTTTTAGGAAGACTCCATCCATTCATCAACCTTTATCTTTATTTACAGGTCTCCGTAAATGAGTCCTCAATGCTCACTGAGACTAAACTATATAAATAAAGGTTGAATTAATTTGCTTCTTCTTTTCTGAGTCATGGGGGCGGATCACTGCTTCCTGGAGGTGGGGTACACCCTGGACAGACATGTTGCAAGTTCATCACAGGGCCACATAGAAACAAATGAAACAGTCATTTACAGTCTTTCTTAAGAACAGCTAAGTTACCAATTACCCTCCAATGTCTACAAATTCAAATTTATTAAAATCTGACTCACTAGATCAGTGGCTATCAAATGGTTTGTGCTATGCCTTATTTTGGGGGAAAAATGATTAACAAGACCTAAACAAAGATATTCAAGTTTACCTGGAACTGGAGAGGGAGTGTAAAATAAACTCTAGATGTACCTTTTTTTTTCCTGTGTCATTGTCAAACTGACTTTGTTTTGGGAACATTTTGTCTCTCAATTTACTCTCTTCATTTCAAAATAAAGAACAAATAAAAAATAATTTTCTAAAAGAATCAACAGATTACTTCGTTGGCCTCTAATAATTCAATTAACTTTTTTTTCTCCTTCGGCTGCTCCCTTTTTCAGGGATCACCACAGAGAGTGACGTCGCATGAAAGATTTAGAACTTGTTTTACGTTGGATATCCTTCCTGAAACAGCCTGACTACGAACTTGCAGCCTTCAAAAATAGATTGGAAGGGAGTGCCATCACTTTTAAAGTCTACATAAACCCAACAAATCTAAATTTACAACATTTAAACATTATTACAGTATTGAAGGCTGCAGTGAATCTGTTTCTGCTATATTTTGAAAAGGAACAACAGTACAGTTCATTCAACCCTAGTTTGAGCAGGTATTTGATGAGATTACATCCTTTTATTAGCAAGGATTGATGACGTTATTTTCTCACATTATCAGGAGTTTAATCTTCTATTCTTTACTGACACTGTTCTCAAATGAGATTTTATTTTGCTTTGTGTGTGTTTGTTTTTTTTAAAATAAATTCAAGTGGCTTACCTAAAGTGAAATGTTTATACAGTATATATAAGTTCACACTTTAAACTGCCAGTTTTAAGACATACAAATTATATATATATTTTTCCCTTCACTGTAATTCCAACAGTAATTATTTAATTTGACGCCTTTTTGTCCATATATACTGACAAATGTTGTAAGGAAACAGATTTTCAACAATAACCAACATATCATCCAGTCCATAGGGTGGATGTCCCGCTCAGATCTATTGGTGAGAGCAGTGTTTTCCCACCTTGACCATAATCACTCCAACACTTTGTCTTTATTTGAAGTGACCCCTCCTCCAGCCAGCAAAAATTTCCTCCGTAAAAGAAAGAAAACTATTCCCTCCATGCTCATCATCACTTTTATCCGGGTCATGCACCGGTTCAAGGACTGGATCCATCCACACTCTGTCCTGCGCCTGTCTTCTTTGGTCCATCACTAAAACAGTTTGAGTAGCAACATCTAGTGGAACATTAAATCTGCTTGCAATTTTATATATATATATATATATATAT